CCTGCCCTCCTGTGGAGCTTCCTTTCCTACACTGCTGAGACTGAAAGGCCACTCATTCTGTTACCCAGGCTCCCTTGCAGTCGGGCCCTGGGTGCAGACTGGATTCTACCCTTTGGATGCATTCCTGGAAGGGCTGCGAGGAAGTGGTGGAGTCCGTCCTCCTGCGCCTTTTAGCTATTCTATTTCCAGTGCACGGGCAAAGAGGTGGAGATGGGAGGCGTTCTATAGCGGGCTCCAGGATCCACTTCCTAGCGTCCCGGGTCCGCAGAGGCTGCTGCGGCAGGTGTGGTGGCTGGACTGTGACTCCAATGCCCAGTCACCAGCTTTGTGATGGTTGCGAGGTGGCTGTGACAGTGGAGGCAGCCACAACAGTGACACCATCATCCTGATCTCTGCTCCATTTGTGGTTCTTGAACTCACAACCCTAGTGGCAGCCTCCAAGGCCATAGTATTCTCAGAATTGTTCCTGGAGGCCCAGCCTCGAGCACACTCCTCCAGCCCTTCTGATAATTTTTTTTTAAAAAAACTTTCTATTTTGAAATAATTATAAATTCACAGAAGTTGCAAAGACAGTACAGGGAGGTCCTGTGTAGCTTTCATCCAGTTTCCCCCAGTAGTTACATCTTCCCTAATTGCAGTACAGTATAAAAACCAGGAACCTGACGTTGGTACAATGGGTGTGATTCCATAGTCTTTTTATCACGTGTACATATCAACCTGAATGTCAACCACCAGGACATTCAAGATACCATTCCATCACCACAAAGATCTCCCGCACCCCATATAATCACACTCACCCCTTTCACTCCCTCCCATCCCTAACTTCTTGCAACCACAAATCTGTTCTCCATCTCTGGCATTTTCAAGAATGTCATACACATGCAATCACACAGCACATAAACTTCTGAGACTGGCTTTTTCCCCCCACTCCTCACAACGTCCTTGAGATCTGGCTAAGATCTGCATTGTATGTCAGTAGTCCGTTCCTTTTTATTGCCGAGTAGTGTTCCAGGGTATGGATGCACCACAGTTGAACAACTTACCTACTGAAGGACATCTGGGTCATTTCCATTTCTTGGCTATTGTCGGTAAAGCTGCTTGGAACATTTGTGTACAGGATTTTGGGTGAACATAATTTTCATTTCGCTGGGGTAAATGCCCAGTAGTCCAATTTCTGAATCATATGGTAAGTACATGTTTAATTTCTTATGAAACTGCCAAACTTTATCCCAGAGTACCATTTTACATTCTTAGCAGCAATGAACACAAAAGATCCAGCTTCTCTGGCATTTGGTGTCGTTGCTATTTCTTATGTTACCGGAGGGACGATTGAGTCCTCCCTCTCTACCAGTATCCCTGTATTTCCACTTGGAAAATGGGGTGTTTTGAGGATGCTGGGGGACTATCAACCTCATGGTTATACAGCAGTCCCTGCCCCACCCCCACTCTCCATTAGTTAGAAAAGGTAGTGTTGCCAAATATTCATAGTTTAACAGATATTCAAGTTTAAGTGGGTGTCCTGTGTTTTTGTTGCTAAATCTAGCAACCCTAGAAAACAGTTGAACTACTCGAACCGGTGAAAAATGTGACAGTACCACACTCAAAAACAGATCGCTTGCTTACTTTTACTGAATATCAGCTCCCAGAAGCAAAGATCACATCTTTTTGTACTTTTTATTCCCAGGATCCAGGACAGAATTATCTCAAATTCTAAATTCACTGTGTGTGACTTCATGAAGTTTTTTCTTTTTTGAAAAGAGAGATGAAAATCCTTTGGTTAAAGGACCCACACTAACAGCTTTCTGACCATACCACTGTTGGGGGAGGTGGTTAAAATGTTAATCAGAATTTATTTGGCTTTCAAAAACTCATACATGAAAACCAATGAAAACGGAAACAACACAGGAGGCTTCAGGCCACGTCGCTTTAAGGTAACTTACTGTGCCCGCCCGCTTTCCCACACGGGCTCGGCGTGGCCCGGGCTGACCTGCGGCTGGGGAGGGGCCTGGAGCCTCACAGCCTGCATGGCCCGGGTGCTGGCTGGCCCGCAGGTCAGTCCCTGCAGCCTGGCTCCTGCCAGGCGGGCATCCCCGTCAGCTCTGTGGACGGGGAGGGCGCACGGCCGCACGCACGTGGAGGCCAATGGTGGCAGCACATCTTTGCCCCTGCCTCGCTTCCGCCCTTCCCTGCACCTGGACGGGGACTATTTGGAGAAGGAAACTGCCCTCCTGTCCTGAAGGGTGGAAGCCTTGCCTGTGGGCCACACGGACTGTTGGGCAGTGCCAGGTGCACAGGTCAGCGCACCTGGAAAGGCTGGCACAGCGGGAAGTGGCTGAGCGGGGGTGGCTGCAGGCCTGGCCCTCCCCCGCTGCCACCTCACCTACAGCCAGCGAGGTGCCCTCAGCTGACTCCTGGCGGGCAGAGAGAAGAGAAGCAGAGGCGCAGGACTGTGGGGACCCGGCCCAGTGAGCCCTGGGTCACTGGTGACGGGCTTCAGCCTCAGGAGCCTCCTGTGCACCCCAGAGCCCAGCTCTCAGGCTGCCCTGCTCTCGTCCTCACCCGGCTCTTTGATGGGATGAAGTGCTAAGACGCAGGTTTAAAACAAACAGGGCGGAGAAAATGTAAATTCCCTTAATGTTACATGAGCTCTTATGACTCTTATAGAATAAAGAAAATGTTCGTGTCCTAAAGTTCTGAAGTGTAAAACGCCATGAACATGGGATGATGGAGATGGACCCTGCCTTGCAGGGGTGTGGGTTACGTGGAGGTGTGCATTTGTCAGAACTCTGCACACCGCAGATGTGTGCATTTCACCATAAATAAACATCAACAAAAGAAACATTAAAAAATGAACAGTGCTGCCACGGGGGCCCCCGGGCTGCTGGGCACAGGTCCAGGCTCCTGACACTTGACAGTGTCACCGGGAAAAAGAGGCTGATTTCTCAGTGGGTCTGCACAGTGTTCTACAGCCAACCAGACTCTCGTTTTCAAAGGACAGTGTTCGGTGACATGGCGGAGTGTTCACGTTACGGCGTTAAGAGAACAAAAAAAGCAGGACAAAGTTTCACATAAAGCAGGATTACCGATTTGTAAAAAACAATTTGGACACAGGCAGAAATCCATTTATTCATTGAACCAGTGAACCACTGACTGAGCTTTTGCTTTGCTGTGATTCACGAGTGTGATCACAAACCCACACTGGGCTCCCAGCAACCCTGTGAGGAGAGGTAAGCGCCTTCCTGGGGGACCCTGGCAGGGCTGGGGGTCTGAGAGTGTGAAAGGCCTAGCACCCGGGGAGCTGGAAGAGACACAAACTGGGCTTTCCAGGAGAGCTCGCCCTTGGCTGACTTTCTTCTTTCTAATCAAGGTACATACATAAGGTGCAGAGTGTGACATGTACCGATCTGAGGATTGCTTACATGGACATGCCACCACCCAGATCCACACGCTGCCACCCCCCAAGTGTCCTGTGCCCTCCCAGTCTTTACCCACTCCCAGTAACAACCATTCTGACTTCTATTGCCACAGATTTGTTTTCCTGTTCTAGGACTTCCTCGAAATGGAATCATATAGTATTTTTTTGGGGGGGGGTCTGCCTTCTTTCACTCCATATATGTCTGAGATTCACAAAGCTGCATGTACCCATACTTCATTCTGTTTTTGTTTTGTTTTCTCAAATTGTTGTGTCCATTGTACGATATACCTGTTGATGGACACACTCGGGTTGTTTATAGTGTTTGGCCATTAAGAGTAGGGTGGTGAACATTTAAGACATTTCTTGTTGCTGACACAGCACTCATTTCTCTTGGCTATAGATCGAGAAGTGCAGCTGCTGAGATACAGGGTAGATGAGTGTTCAGCTTTAGCAGAAACTGCCAGTTTTCCAAGTGGTTGTAGCATTTCACTCTCCCCACCCCCACCGGCAGGGTTTGAGATCTCCAGTTCTAGGTGGAGTCTTGTGTGGACGCACATGGCAGCTCGCGGTGGTGGCAGATGGAGGCTACAGTTAGGGAGAAAGATATTCTTGGTAAGAGGAATGCCACGAAGGCACTCGGCAACTGTGAAAATGCGCCGCTCAGATGTCCTGCAGCAGAGCAGGTGGGATGGCCCTGCCGCTGTGCAGAACCCACCCCGGTACTGACGCGGAGACCACTCTCCTCAGCCACTCAGGGGAGTGGCGGGGATACCTGTCTAATGCACACCTTTGGTTCAAGTGCTGGTCTGCCTGGTGAAAGGCTCCCAGCCTGAGACTCCACCTCCTCACCCCCCACCTCACCCCCCCCCATGGGAGCCCAGCCCGCAGCAGGTCTCCCTAGCGACAAAAGGCGGACACGCCTTCTCCCAGGACAAATCTGCGCCTGGTTAACCTTCTAGCTCTGTTTCCAGGGGAGTCAGACTGGCCAGTCAGTGGGACATCGGGCGCGGTTTTAGGCAACACCGCTGATGGGAGTTTTCACCTCTGACTGATGAACTACATCTGAACTGGAAGGACGAAGAACAAGCTAAACCGTCTGGTAGGAAACCGCAGCCTGAGGCTGCCCCAAGTGCAAGAACTCTTACAACCAGGCATGTCCCTGGAGGGGCCCTGGGAACTGAGGCTGTGGCTGTTGAAAAGGTACTGGCCCCCGTGGGGCCTGGGCCTTCCGAGCCAGGGAGGCCCCACAACCACAGAGTGGATCTCATGTCCTGCCCTTGGGACTGGGGGGGACAGTGGCCCCCGACTGATGCGAGGGCTCCTCCTGTGGAAGAAATCTGCAGACCTGGCTCTGCCGCACACCGAGCGTCCCACCTCCGTCCTTCTAAGCTGAATCTGGCGCCAGGTGTGGCCTGTCCGGGCTGCGTGAGTCTGAACGCCTGGCTCGGCCTTAGGAAAGCCCCGTGGATCCGGTGCTTCCTCCCCACAGCCCTCGCTCCTGCCGGCCGGCCTGCTCGCCTCACTGAGGGCCCCGTGGCGTGACTGCCGGCCCTGCTTCCACCACCCAAGAAAAAGACTCGACCGAGACGCTTATCATCATTTAATGATGCTCCCACACTCCCTTCACTGGGATACGGGGGATTTCAGGGGGATGGAAGCTGATGAACCACCCACCCCAACAACTGCATGATTACTCGTTTTCCAGAAAGCTGGATGCCAGGAGGACTCAGTAGGAAACAGCATGATCACTTAGCCAAAGAGGTTCCTTGGGATTCCTTCTTTCCTTCCTCCTCCTCCATTTCCTCCTCCCTGCTAAGGAACTTCTCCAGGGGTACAGATGGTCAGGACAGGAGAAGGGGGGATCCTGTCTCTGGTGCAAAGAGGGGTGCTGCAAACACCGCACCCCAGGTGCAATGAGACGACACCGAGGCCCAGGCCTGGCCCAGACCTGCTCCATAAATAACAAACAGAAGTCGCTACAGCAGGGTCGGGGGCCTGAGGACACTGGCTGGAGGAGCCACCGTGCTGAGGCCTGGGCGGCACGCTTGCTACGTGCTGCACACCAGCACGTCTGCAAAGGGTCCCAGGAGCGTCTTGTTGAAGATGCAGCGGACCCACACCAGGTAGGTGGTGAAGGGCTTGATGTTCTCAGTGAAGGTGTGGTTCTGCAGGCCCAGAATGTAAGGCACGTAGGTGTTCTCGCCCTGCTCCTGCAGCCACACCTCGTACTTGACCTCCCGCACCTTCAGGTACTTGAGGTTCCACGGGATCTGCCAGGAGACGGTGAGCCGGGCCTCGGAGGCACCCTGCACCGACGCCTGGCATCGCGCCTCCCGCACCTTGCCCGGGTACAGGCTGATTGTCCACCTCTGCTTCCGCGGCCCTGGCCGGCCCTTCACCACGCGCCGTACGGTTTGAATGAGGGATGGGATGTCTACCTTGGTGTCCTGGTAGATGCGGAAAAGCCACTCGGGGTTCCGGCAACAGAGATGCCGCGGGACCTCACGGCTCTGCAGGATGCGGGCCTGCTCAGCCTGGTCCAGGTGGGCGATGCCCCCCTGGTCCCAGGGCCGCTCAGGGTGCGTGACCGTGTTCTCTGGCATCGTGTTCCGCCAGGCTACATACTGCAGGGCCATACCAGGCAGCGTGGCCAGCGTTTTATAGGGGGTGTAGTGGTCGGGGTTGACGGCATACGGGAAGAGCTCAACCACAGTCGCCCCGCGGGGCAGGAAGAGGGTGGTGACCAGCTGGGCCCCGTGCATGCTGACCAGCATGGAGGCATTGCTGACCAGACGCACAACATCTGCAAAGGTGTGGTCCTCCAGGGACACCGTCACCGTCTTCATCTGGAACTCCTGGGCCAGCGCCAGCAGCAGCTCGGCCTCGTTCAGGATGAGTCTGTCGTGGGTGCGGCTGAAGACCAGAATGTACTCCTCCCCTAGGGGGGCCGCCGAGCGGCTCGCGTTCAGCTTGGCCATCATGAACTGTGCAAACTGCCGGATCTCGTTGCCCGAGACTAGGATATTGGCCTTTGGGCCCTGGGGCTGGACGAAGCCATACTGGTACCAGGTGGTGATCTTGGAGAGGCCCACGAAAGCGTGGGAGAAGCACAGCAGCCGGCCCAGGGCCTTCAGCTGTGCCCGCAGGAGAGGCTGCTTGGGGCTGAGAAGCTTGTAGAGGTCGAAGTGCGCGCCCTCGCCCCAGCCCTCCATGAAGAAGAGCCGGGCCTCCTGGGCCAGGCCGGGGAACTGCCGCAGGGTGTAGAAGAGCGGCAGCAGGTCATCGTGGAAGACGTGCATGAGGTTGTCGGGGTTGAAGCGGTTGGCGATGACGGCCACGTCGGGCACAAACACTGGCTTGGGCATGAAGCGCAAGGCGGCAGCGGGCAGCTCCACGAAGTTGAAGTACTGGGTGTTGTGGTCCTCCACGGTGGACAGGTCGAGCAGGGCTGGCTGGAAGCGCCGGGAGCCCAGGTTGGGCAGCATGACAGACGAGTTGCCGTGGAAGAAGATGAACTCCGCGGCCTCGCTGGAGTAGCAGAGCCACTCGAAGCGGCAGATGCGGTCTGTGTGCGTGCGGCCCGTGCACACCATGTGTGTGCCGCCCTCCATCAGCGTCTGCAGGGCCTTTGGGTAGTCGATCCTCAGGGCTGCGGCCGGCTCTGGGGCCTGTCGGCTGAGGGCCAGCTCCTCTTCCAAAGAGGCCGCGTGCTCCCGCAGCCGCACGTGCTTCCACAGGACTGCCGCCAGCACGGACACCAGCAGGGCGTTGAGCACCGCCGACAGGTGCATCCTAGCGCTGCTGCGGGGCCCTAGCGCGGTGATGGCTGCTGGGAGGGGCCACAGGCCAGGCGGGCTTCACCCATCCCTATGGGTACCCCGAGGACCGGCAACCACCTGCAGGAGGAGAGAAGGAAAAGAAAAAGGAGTTGGCATAGTCTGCCTGGCGCCACTACAAGCTCCCACAATGCACAGCCACTGTGCCAGGCACGGTAGATTAGACCACTGTTCAAAATATTTACTCCCCCCACCACTCCCATGGGTGGAGTATCTATCCTTACACTTGACATTGGTTTGGCCCCATAACCCGGTTTGGCCAATGCGATGTTAGCGGACAGAACATAATCGAAGGTTTGGAAAGTGCCTGGACTGGCCTTGCCCTCTGCATACTTACGGCACTGCCATGAGAAGAATGTGTTCAGGCTAACTCATGGGCCCCAAGAGGAGTGACAGTCGTGGAGCAGAGCTGCTCTGGCCAAGCCCAGTCTAGCTCCACTGACCCCGATGCCTGAGTGAGCCCAGCCAAGACAGCAGAGCCATCAGCCAACCCAGCCAAGGTCAGCCACCACACAGACACCTGAAGTGAGTAAAAGCTTATCATCGCATGTCACTGAAATTCTGGGGCTCTTGGTCAGGAAGCGCTGCTGCAGCAAAAGGTAACCAAGAGAGACATCTGCAATGACAGGCCACAGGGAAAATCCCTCTTAGGGGTCTGAGGCTCCTGGACTGCCAGGACATCACTTTTCTCTAAATGAGAACTGGCGCTGAAGGCCTGTGAACACTGTTCCCAGGCTCCACACCAAGACCCCACTGCAGCCCTTCTGAGAGACCCAGGAATGCATGTGCAGGGAGCTAAGCAGACTGGCTAAGATCTGCTCCTGCTTAAAGCCCCTTTAGGAGTCATGCCTGCTGGCTTTTAGAATCCCATAAAAGCACGGTAGAAACTTGCCCCCTCAGTGAACGAGGAAGAGGATTGTGTCTGCATCTCACCTCCGACAAATGTATTTTGAGGCAAAAATCCCAAAAGAGTTTTAAATATCCTCTCCCACATACACACGCCTACAGAGAGGCCTGGCTGGGGTGGGCATTCGCTCCCTTTCTTTGCATGGTCATGGAGGCCACCATGCCTCCTCTGGGGCCCAGGACTATTGGGACAGCTGGAGAATCTCACCCTCAGCGACACAGAAGCAGCACAGGTGACACTGCACTGCGGAGGGAGCGTGCCGCTCCCTTCTTCCCTTGCAGCTGGCTTCTGATGCAATCTCCACCTCCCTGCGACCAAAAGTCCCAAGGGTGACCTTGCCCAGAAAGAGGAGGTATCTTTGGCCAAGCACCCTAAGAAGCAGTCAGGGACAAGGATGTGCATCTAAACACTTTGAGAAATCATCCCAAGAAATACTTACAGGAGAGTGGAAAAGTCAGACAGAGAGGGGACGAAAGCCAATACAGGGCACGCCAGTGAGCAGGGCACTGCTTTGGGAAAGCTGGGATACAGGTCTATCCACTGTCGGGCTTGGGTGAAGGCCGTTTGGAAGGCATGATCTCTTCTGGCCTACCCTCGTCCAAGGCTGGGCACACACATATGCACATATCATTTAACACACACCCTCGCACCCAGCAGATGTAATGCACTCTAGGTTTTTCTAGTCTGTTAAAAAAAAAAAAGTTGCCCATGATCATCTTAATTGATTTTCTAACCTACTAATAGGGTTGGCAACCTGGTGTTTAAAAAATACTGGTCTAGACCAGAGGTTCTCAAACCTGGATGACCCGGAATCCTCAAGGGGCACTTGCTAAAAACCCACATTCCCTGCACCAGTCCTGGAGGCCTCAGCTTAGCAGGTCTGCAGTAGGCTCAGGCATCTCTGTGTTTTTCCTGCCTTCTTATGGATTACTTGAATTTCACTTTGATTTATCTATAGTGTTTTTTAATGTATCTCTTGGTGTAGAATTTTTTAATAGTTAAAGCTCCTTTAGAAATCATGCCTGCTGGCTTTTAGAATCCCATAAAAGCACCGGTAGAAACTTGCCGTGGTCAAGGAAGAGAATTGTGCCTGGGAGTCACCACTGACAAATGTTTTGTATATTGAGGCAAAAATCCCAAAAGGGTTTTAAATACCCTGTCCCACATACACATTGTATATCATGATGTACCACAGTCTACCAGTACTGCCATTTGACCTTCTGAGGAAGTGTAGAAACCTCACCTCCATTTAGGTTCCTTTATCCTCTCCCCTTTATAACATATTTTAAATAAGATTATCTTAAAAATACTTTTAAGATAATTAAAAGTGCTAATTATCTTAAGTAGTAATACTTAATAGTATGAATATTAATACTCTTGCTATGAATAGTAATGCTGTTAATAATAAGAGAATAGTTAATTATTATAAATATTTCCTCTACATAGAGATTCACATTGGACAGTGTTATAAGTTTGGCTTCAGCTGTCAAATATAATTTCCTCAAGAGAAAAAGGATAGTCTATTATATTTACCCATATTTTACTCTTTTTGTTCTTTCTTCATTCCTGATGTTACAGGTTTCCTTCCATTATCATATCCTTTCTTTGAAGAGTTTCTGTTGACCATTCTTTTAGGGCAGATCTGCTGGGAACAAATTCTTTTAGTTTTCCTTCCTGAAAATGTCTTGATTTCTCCTTCATTCCTAAAGAATATTTTCACTGGGTATAGACTTTTTGGGTAACAATTTTTTTCTTTCAGCGTAATGAAAGATGATGCTGTGACACTTTCTCTATCCCAGGACTTCTGATGAGAAATTGCTATTAATGTCATTTGAATGGCATTTCCCCTAGATGTGATATATAGTTTGTCTCTTTACTCTTAAAATTTTGTTTTGGTCTTCGTTTCAGAGGTTTGATCATAAAGTGTCATGGCAGGGTTTTTTTGGGTTTATCCTCTTTGGGGTTTGCTCAGATTCCTGAATCTGTAGTTTTATGTCTTTCACCAGATTTGGGAAATATTCAGCCATTATTTCTTTGAATACTTTTCCAGCTTCACATTGCTCTCCTAGGACTCTCCAATCACCAACAATGCTAGATTAAAAAAAAAAAATTGTATTGTCCCATAGGTCTTTGAGGCTCTGTTAATTTTTTCCCAGTCTTTTTGCTCCCTATTGTTCAGGTTGGATATTTTCCATCATTCTGTCTTCATGTTCACCGATTCTTTCCTTTGTCCTCTCCATTCTTCCTTGAGCCCATCCAGTAATTTAAAAATTTTAGTTATTCTATTTTTCAGTCCTACAGTTTCGATTTAGTTTTTTATATCTTCTTTCTTTGCTGACATTTATTCTGGACATTTTGGGTAGAATGTTATGATACTATGGATCTCCTTGAACTTCAGCAGGCTTCTGCTCAAACTTTGGGGGGGGGTAGGGAAGGCATTGACTCTTTACCGCTGGGTGGGGTAGAAGTCCAGGCCTCCCTGCTTGGCTCTGTCAGCATCACCCTGGCCGGGAGAGTGAGGGACACTGTCTTCAATGAAAACAGTCCCCGGTGCCAAAAAGGTTGAGGGCCGCTGGTCTAGGCCATCCACGTGGCCTTTACTAAAGCTGGGAGCATTGGGGGGGGGAGCATTTTCCCCTAATGTTTTTCAGTAATAGGGTGTTTATGGTCAAGAAGATTTCTGTTTTGCTAGACTGCTCCCTTTCCAGCCCTTTGACAAAGGAGACCAAGCTTCCTCGGGCTTTGTTTTGGTCCACGCCCACAGCCATTTCCGGGTTGTGGGCCTCTCTAGCGCAGTGTGGGATATACAAAAGGCAAAAAGAAAACCCAGGGAACTCACCACTACGTTGTTCTGGGAGTTCCAGGGTCCCTGGTTGCTCCACATTCTTTTCTCCACCTTCCAGTCTTCTGATATTTTATATATAATCCCGGTGTTTTTAGCTATATTAGTGGGAGAGAAAGGGATAAATGTGTCTACTCCATTTTGACCAGAACCTGAAGTCTTCGTGGCATCTGCTTTTTGCCAAGCTCCCAGGTGATTCTGGGGTACAGCCAGATTTGAGAAAACCAAGTAGCTCTTAACCAAAGAACCAGGCCATGAATCACGTTACCACTTGTCAGTTTAAAAGTTTGGAAATGTTTTCCTATTTCTTTTGCATATAAATTAGAGTAGGCTCAATGTTATCCTTATAATCACATCACCGTCACTCAGCTGCTTTCTGATACACCTTCTTGAATTAGGAAGACGAGGATCACTGTTCATCTGTCGGAAGAACCCCCCCCCCCACCGCCTAGGCCGTGGGCAGCAGCGAGCGGCCTGTGTGTTAGTTACGCCCTATGAACAGCAGCAGCTGGTAGGAGTTACTGTTCTGCTTTACCGCACTGTAAGATATCTTTGGGTTTTCAACATGTGAGTACACCCAAAGGAGTGTATCATCCATGTGAATGTTCCCTATCACGTGCTATGGGGGAAAGAAAAATAGCCAAATGCTGCAGCCAGAGCCTGCAGAACTTCAGACCAGGTCTGTCGCTTTGCTGTGTGACACAGGACATGTCACCATGTCTCTCTGACCCTTAAGTGCCTGGATGGTCAGGATTAAGCATCATACTGGCCCTGGCTTCTCACCTGCTTAGCAACCAAATGCCAGACTGCCAGGAATAAACACAAGCCCAGCTACGCCAGGATCCAGAGGAATGGCTTCCTTTTTTGCTCTCAGGGAGAAAGGAGAGGTGACTCCCCTGGCTCTCCCCAGAGAGTGGATCCTCAGGCTTTCCAAATGATCTCTGCTTGGAAGATTACTTTGTCTGCAGGCAACACATGGCCTGACATTGGAACACTCCCCCAGTGGCTTGCCTGCAGAGGGATGCTTACTCCCTGAAGGTGACAGTCTGGCATTAGGCTCTGCCTGCAGTGATCTTGGCTTCCTTGGGAATAGGTGGGGCTGTTCGAACTTCCAACCAGTGCCTACCCACAACTCATGCTTGTGAGTGCTGATGCTACTTGTGAGGGCTGTGGACAGAGGTTCTTCCTCCCTGTCCTTCAAGGAGAGGCCACTCAAAGGTCACCTGCCATGGGAGCCAAAGTGCCTGGAATATTATTCCTGCGCCCCCAAATGAAGACATGGGACATGGTGAGCTAGGGTGCCTGGATCCTTGGGTGGGCAATGGTTTGCAGACCCTGAACTTTGGGGGTTGCCAAGGGTGGGGGTGGGTGGGGAGGCCAAGGACACCAGCCTTTATCTAGCTCCAAGCAGAACCAGGCCCCCTTAATCTGTTCTATATTTGGTGATACTGTAGTGGATTGAAGAATATCTCCCCAAAATTCATGTCTACTCAGAACCTCAAAATGTGACCTTATTTAGAAATAGGGCCTTTGCACGTGTAATTAGTTAAGGATCTTGATATAACACTAGATTAGGATGGGCCCTAAATCCAACGAGTGCCCTTATACGATATAGAAAAGGACACACAGAGAAACAGAGAAGCTACATGAAGATGAAGACAGAGATTGAAGTGACACTGTTATAAGCCAAAGAGCACCAGGATGACCAGAAACCACTAGGAGCAAAATGAAGGCAGCTAGAGCCTTCAGAGGGAGATGCTGACCACGCTTCGTTTCAGACCTAGTTTCAGACTTCCGGCTTCCAGAACTGTGAGGCAATAACGTTCCTTCTTTTTAAGCCACCAAATGTGTGGTAATTTGTTACAGCAGCCATAGGGAACTAATATAGGTACCATAAGAATTCATTTGAAAAAGGGGTTCTTCGCTCTTGAGAAGGAATTCCACAGCTACGAAGGTGAACAAGCACTAAGCAAGTCCTTCTCACTTTACACAGAGAGGCAGCTTGCCGAAGTCACACAGCAAGCCTGTGGCCCGGCCAGGGTTCAGGATGCAGGAGCCCTAACACTGCCGGCGCAGGGCTGCTCCCCGCACAGGTGGCCGGGGGGACCGGCAGGTCACTAGCAGACGGTTCCTCGCACAGCCCAGCTCCCGGCCTCGGCCAGCACGATGGGATGCACTACTCCAAACCCCGCGGGGAGGTTGCGTCAGGGACAGTCAGAACAGGAAGCTGACTCCTAAATGACTGTGACCGGTGGGTTTGCTCTTCTGGAGACATCTCGAGAGGTATCGCTAATCACTCAGTAGCTGTCGCCTCACCCATGCACGGACGGCTGCAGGCAGCTGCCAGAAGAGGACGCATGCTGCCAGGGAAAGCTGGAGGATAAAGCGCCAGGCAGCCTCGGGTTCAAACCCCAGCGTCTCCACCTACAGCGTGGCCTTTCTGAACTCCAGCGGCTCATCAGCACAGGGCACAGCTTCACAAGGCTGTGGGGAGGTCAGGAATAGCGCCTCAGTTGGACCTTGTGAATGCTCACACTCAACTGCTTGGGACGTACAGAAACAATTTCGTTCAATTAGGTTCAACTTAATAGGTGGAGTATCTGGTGGATAGGAGAAGAAAAAGGTTTGAGGCACCAGATGGTTAATAAAAAGGCCACCGGAATACACAAAGAAATGTGTCATTTGAAAACATTTTGGACACACTTGGCTGCCTTCATCTGACTCGAAGCAAGGACTGATCAGTGCTGAGGCAGAAACTGTCACTTTTCATTTGAAACAAAGGATTTTCAATCTAAGCAGGGGAAGATGGGGACCGAGACCAGCCAGCGAATGTTGTTACACGTGTCATCTGTGGCACCCTGGGCGGGGTCGGAGGCCAAGCCTCTGTGTCTTGGGCCTGCTGGTCAGGTGCATCAGCAAATGACAGGGGGACACTTGCTTCCCCCCAGCATCCACCCCTTTCCTTTTCCTAACAAGATCCCCAGTTTGTCCAGACAGCCAGCCCTCCCACCAGTACCTACGGGCCAAGACCTCGCACCCCGGGAGGGCTGAGGGAGCACGCCTCTGGCTCAGGCGTGGCGCGTTACCCAAGTGGACCCATCAGGCCAAGGAGCGGGAGTCACGCCCCATGTTCCCACCCACCGGACAGAAAAAGAAGGCGTGGCACCGTAGCTGCTGGCTGCCATCTGCTGACCGCGTGGAACCTGTCTGAGGGCAAAGAGAGAAGGCCGCGGATGGCATGGCCAAGGGATGCAACGGACCCTGGTGCCGTCTCCGAGCCCCACCTCTGACCTCGTGCTGTGAGGGACGGCAACCTTCCTTGTCGTCAAAGGTGGGCTGGATTGGAGGTTTGGCTTCTCACAGCCAGAACGTTCTAACCGGTATGGGGAGAGAACCTGTTTTCACAGTGCTGCGTGTGAGGCAAATGCACGGGGTGCGTGTCTTGTTTCCGAGCTCTGTGCTCTAACACAGTGGGGCTATCGGGCATCAGGTTCCCCTTGACCTTCCAACTTGGGTAGACAAATCCCTCCCTCTAGGAAACCTTTCTGTAACAAATGAAAGCAAATCAAACATTTATTGTGGCCAAAGAGGATCTACGACAGTTTTCCACACAGGTGCCACCTGCTTGTAGAGCACAAGGACCAAGACAACTCAAGTGTCACAGCACGGGCAGTAGCTGGGCTCCAGGGAGCCCTGCAGGCAGTCAGTGCCAGGCCCCTTCCGAGGAAGAAGCAAGTCCTTCTGCTTTGGCTGTTTCCTGGAGCTTTCGGAGGCAACAGAGATGTGATCTTGAGATCACTGAACTCAAGCTCCTCATCAGCAAAGATACAGCTACAACTTCACTAGGTTGTAGAGAAGGTCAGAAAAAATGCATTAGTTGGACCTTGTGAATGCTGACGCTCAACTCAGGAAAGAAAGGGGTGGGGAGCTGTCCAGGGAGTGTGACCCAAGAAGACCAAACAGTCCGGTCTGGTTGGAGTGGATGGTTTACAAAGAGAAGAAGTAGAGAGAGACTTAGAAAAATCAGCTAAGGTCAGAATGTCAGTGGCTGTGACGCCAGATCAAGGAACTTGAACTCTATCCTACAGGCAATGGGAGCTGGTATAGGTCTTTGAGCAGGGCTGCCGGGAGGTTCTCCAGGAGAACAGAGGTAGAAAAGCCCGTTAGAAGCTCCCAGGCCCACTGTCTCCCCGCTCAATACGGGAGAGGAGAGCCTGGGAGTTAGAATGGGGGGCCTAGAAGGGCGTAGGAACCTGGTGGGACACAGGAGCACATGCCTTAGGGCAATTCAAATCCCAAACTCTGCAGACGATTTAAATTTTAAATAAATTCCTATGGACTCACAGCTAGTCCTTTAATAAATCTCCCACTCACTCATACCTCTATGGGCCTTCTTGACTGTAGGAGAAGAGGATGAAGTCCCAGCTACCCTGAGGGCCCTGCAGACAGGAGAGTATCGGGCACCTGAACTTCACGTCTTTCCTGCAGGACTTCAAGGCTCCTGCGGAACAAGGGCCAAGAACTTCTGGTCTAGCCACAGGTGAGAGGCCAGGGCACCACAGCTGCCTTCTTGACTCCACCCACTCGGCCCTGTTCAGCTCCAGGGAAGGTGTCTCTATGAGCCAAGAAACGCTGCAGCTGAGACATGTACTTAAACTTTGGTGTTTGCTCTGTCTTTTCCAACCCATGCACCCACTGATAATGAGACAAACCTCATGCCCCGAAGTCCAGCATCCCCTCCCCCAAGAAGCCCTCATTCACAAGAGACTCTCTTCTGCAATGTCTGCCCCTGAAGACCAGCAGATTTCATCAACTCGTACTTTATAAAGTTGGTATTTTATATCTGTATCCATCTATGTATTTTACTTTTCAATGTAAAAGTATATTGCTGCATACGCCCCATCTGGAAACTCTCCATCCAGCCTCACCAGCTAAGAACTACTGTGCAACTGGGTTGAACCACATTAAATTGCTGATACAGGATCATTTTTGACCAATGCCCCAGGTCCTGCCACAGGAACGAGCTGTCCTTACCACCACTGTGGCGTGGACAGTATATAAAGCTGCTCAAGAGAGAACACCTGGCTACTCAGTAAGA